AAACCAGTCCGTGGCGCAAAAAAGGTTGGAGACCGCTGCATTAGGAGATTTTTATCAACAAATATTAGAGCATTAGCTGACTTTGTACACGTACAGGTTCATACATATTGATTTCAAACAATACAAGATTTTGTCGTCTCACAATTTCATTACTTTTTTTTTTTAACAACACAATGTTGTACACCCAGTAGTCTCTTCTTACACCAGGCACAGCAGTTGCAATAAGATATGACAGACTCCTACCGTCATCTATATGCTTCTGAATCAAATGCAATATACATAACATGCACAAAGTACAGCAATACATAATACAAATAGAAAATAAAACTTGAAGCCAGTGTCTTAAATTAATGTGGCTATAACCTTTTTAGAATATACACAATCTTACCACAAATATATTAGAACTACTGTATAGAAATCTGATCAAGAAGTAAAATGTTAAAAATACAATCTTGTACAGTTAGGCTCATCTCATCTGTGGTTAGAGCTTTCTCTTTACCAATTTATTACTTAAAATGCATGTTAGCAAAACAGTTTGTGTATAATTTAATAAAATATGGTATGATAAAGCTAGATAAAGACTAAGGGGGGAAAAACAGGGAAGTCCTTTTAGGTTTTGTTTAAGAGCTTTAAGTAAGCTCATTAAATTCTGCATGGGAGAGCTTTTGTTTTGTTTTTATATGTATTTACAAAAGCAAGAAGGTATGATAAAGGTCACAAATATTTAGTCTGAGAGGGGTGACTAACTTTCACTAAAAAATCTCCCCAAAAAACTATTTTCTTGGTTCGAACTAAAGGCAGATTACTGAAAAGACAAGTGTGAGCTCATAAAATAACAAACAGCAGATTTCATGAAGACGAAACAGTTACTAAGTGCAGATGGCAAACAGAAAACGCTGAAATCTGAATGAATTTAAGGTTTTGAAAGGGAAAAACCTGTGCCAATTATCTTTGAAATGACAAGCTAAACCGTGTAACCAGCTAAACATGGGAACAAATGTTTCTATTAAAAAGTGCAAATGTATATTCACCAAACTGTTGTCCCACTTCTGTTTTTCTTGGCATGTTGCTCATTGTGCTCAATAAATACAAGGCCCTATCATAACAACAAAGCCTAAATAGTCATAGCAAAGCAGTTTCTCTCATTTGTTCTCTTCAGTGTTTGGCAGTAACTTGCTATCAGACAGGAATGTACCAGCTGGTGATGAATTTGTAAAAATAGATGTAAACAGTTTTCCAGTTCTCACACTTCACGAAGAGAGGAACTCAAAAACATCTCTCTCTCTTGCTCGCTCTCACACACACACACACATAAAATAGATGGATGGGGAAAAAATATGAAATCCTATGCTTTTGTGCTTTCTATGAGTAATTGTTTAATAGAAAATCATCCTAGTAGTTGATCAAATGTTTATTTCCTTGTCTTCGCCCTCACATGGGTCTGCCCGCGGTGGGTTTGGTCACCTTCTTTTCATACGACCCTTGATGCTTGTACCCCGAAACGTATCCAGAAGTGTCAACTATGTCTACTCGTCCCGCCTTACCCTTCCCGCGGCCGGTTTCGTCAAAACGCTCCTTGTGCGACCCTGTAAACTTAGTGGTGTCCGTAAGACGACTGACTGTTGGAGACGCGACGGCTCTCTGTGAAGAAGTTTACAAAGAAAGTTTGAGTTTTTACTGCTGAAAAAGGAAACTTGTGAATCTTTCTGATCAAATCTTACTGTGACTCCTGAAATGACCGGTGACTTCCCCTCGATCAGCTGGAACACCTCTGCCTCAGCCTCCTCTCCAGTCTTGTCTTTATACTTCTTCCTGGCCAGCTCTCCAAGCGCAACCTTGAACTCATCGAATATGATGGTGCGACTGGATTTCTTCCTGTAATATAGGAGGAAAGAATGGATATTTAAGTAGGAGTTTCAACACCTTTATAACCCCAAAAAGTATAGTCATAGGAAAAAGATGATCTAGTCCTTGCCAGGTCTTAAAATGAGGTAAATACCCTAAATACACTGAAGATTTACAGCAATACATGATGTATTAATTCATTATTGAATTAACAAAACCTAAGCCAAAACATCAAAGCAAGCAAGTACACACCCCAGGCTTCAATATCTTGTAAAACCACCTTTAGGAAAAGCAATTTGAAGTAATCGTTTTTCTGTGTGACCTTATCAGTCTCTCACATCGTTGTGAAGGAACTTATCTTGACAATGTTGCTTCACTTCATTGAGGTTTGCGGGCATTTGTTTATGTACAGCTCTCTCAAGGTCCCACCACAACATTTCAATT